GTCCCTTTCCCACCCGGCACAGGCCACGGGAAATGGTCCAGAGGGGCTCCCCAGACCCCTGTCCTACACCTGCCCTGGCTGTGGGGGGCTGGGGCACCTCCGGAGCTGCCGGTGCTGGCCCCCCCTGCAGTGACCGGCCCGAGGCACCCCGGGTGGGGCGGCAGCGGTGGCAGAGCGAGCTGGGGGTGCTGGGGGGGATCACAGCCCGCTCTGAGCTCAGGGTGACAGAGCTCTGAGCCCTGCCCTGCGGCACACCACGGTCTGTCCCCCCTCCATCCTGCCGGGGATGTGAGAGCGGCTGGGGGGCAGCCAAGGCCACCCGGCACCCCGGGACAGGGGACGAGCTTCTGCCGCAGCTCCTGTCCTGGTGGCACATGAACAGGTACCCAGCGCATCCCTTTGAGGATGGAAAGCATTAAATCCCAACAAAAACAGTTCCCCAGTGGTATTTTCCCAAAGAGGATTAACAGTTAATCACGCAGCAGAGCTGTGAGTGGTCTCCTTGGATCACCCTCAGGCAGGGATTTGTGGGGAGCAGGACCCCGGGAGAGTTCCCAGACCCCTCATCAGGGGCAGTGCAGACCACCAGCAAACCCAGCAGAGGGGGCATCGGGGGGCACAGGACATCCTCAGGGTCTCCTTGGGACTGGAGGATGCAGCTGGAGCATTGCTGGGAGCCCAGGGCAGGACCTGGAAAATCCTGGAAAAACCTGGAAATATTCCCCTCTCTGACAGCCTCACATCCCCTCGCTGGGCTCAGGCATTCCCAGGTGTGTTTTACCTGTCCTGGACATCTCTGGAGAGCCCCCACTGCGGCCAGATCTGCCAAACGCAGAGAGCTGGTCCTGGGGATGAGCCCAGGTCACTGTCACCAGGTCCTGATCACCACCCCCATCACCAGGGCTGCCCTGAGGCACCAGGGGAGGCCCAGGGCAGGGGACAGAAAGGGACAGTCACCTTCTGCACTGGCACATTCCACAGAGCATCTTACCTCAAGCTGCTTAGCTTTGGAGGGGTTACAGTCTCTCCACAGAATATGTACTTAAATATGGGATTTATTTCATTTCCCCGAGCAAGATAATCACTTCTAGAGTAAAACGTTGGAGTAACATAATTCTGTATGATGAAAATCCTGAGCTTATAGAACAGGAGGTACGTGACAGCCCTGGCAGAGGACAGCCACGGGCCCGGGCTCCCTGTGACACCTCAGTGCCACCAAACCACGGTGACAAGATGCCCGGTGCCTTTCCCCCTGAGCGAGACAACAACCGCTCATTAAACAACTCGCTCATCAGGCAAATGAGCTTTAACTCAGCTGCTTGTGACCAGCCTGTGACCCCCCAGCCCTGGAGCCACTGCAGCCACACCGGGGGACAAGCCAAAAGCCACCAGACCAGCGGGAGCTGCCTCTACACAAACACATCCCTGGCCCCAGAGCTGCCCCGAGCCCAGCAGGGACAGGAGGACACACACACCCCCAAACCTCCAAAGCCACAAACGCTTCGTGCAGCTCCACTGGGATCCCTGTGCAGGCTGAAGGGGCCGTGGGGCAGGCACAGAGCAGGGGGTGAGGGAAGAGCCCTTCCCGGAGCTCCTGCAGGGACTCTGCTCCGGGGGCAGGCTGCAGCACGGCTCTGGCTGCAGCCAGAGGAGGAAAGATGCTTCTGCAGCCCGAAAGATGAACATGAATCAAGGTCCTGCAGTCTGGGCTGCGTGAAACCTCGTGAGCTGCGGCAGCCCTGGCCCAGCACGGCCGGAGCTGAGCACGCTGATTGCTCCTTCCTTTTTTAAATTCCACCTCAGAGCGGAGCTCCTTCGAAATACGATGCCAAGTCTGGCTGGAGATTCTGCTTCTCGTGGCTGCAGCCAGGGGCTATTTACCCTCCCTGCCATGGCAGGGCCTGGGGACTGGGTGGTCTTTAAGGCCCCCTCCAGCCACAGCAGCCTGTGATTCCTGCAATCCAGGTAATGATGCCAACCCAGCCTTGTCTAAGCTCTTTGTCTGGAATTCTTCCATGCCAAGAGAAAACAACAACTGAATTTTGCAGCGAACCTGCAGCAGTGCCCATGATGGAGGTGGTGGCTGCTCCATCCCTGGAAGTGCCCAAGGCCGGGCTGGACAGGGCTTGGAGCAGCCTGGGACAGTGGAAGGTGTCCCTGCCATTGCAGGGGTGGAATGAGATGGACAATAAGATCTCTTCCCACCCAGACCAGTCTGGGATTCTGTGATCAATGCCAGAAGCAGTCCCTCTGCTCCCAGTGCCGGAGGGTCCTGCCCTCCCTGTGCCAGAGCAGCCCCAGGCCCGGGGAGATGCAGTAGGATGGAACAGTCAGCGCTTCCAGGCTGGAGACACATCAAAAATCTGGTTTCAGCCTTCCCAAGGAGAGGTTTAACCATGCTGGACACTCAGACAGGCGCTCAGCGAGCCTTTGCCTGCAATGCCCTTGGATGGAGCAGACCTCAGGAGACTGCCCAGGGAACGCTGCTGGCAGTGCCATGAGCCAGGATCCTTCTCCAGAGCCTGAACCCTCCCAGCTTTCCCACCCAAAAAAAGCCTTTCCTTATCCACCAGCCCAGAGCTGTCCACAGCCCCAGAGCCACACTCCCCAAACCCCAAACTGCAGGCAGCAGCCTCTCTCCAGGACCCAAGCAGGATCCCAAATCCCAGATTTCTCTGGGTAACTCTGCCTCAGGGTGCTCCCTCCTCATGTCCCAGTAACATTTTATTGGGCTGTAAGAGCTGTGAGGACAAGCCCAGCCCGTGCTCCGTGCTGGGGAACAGCTTTCCCGCTGGGATCCTTCCCAGGGATCGCAGCAGCTCCTCACATCTCCCGAAATTGGGCTGATCCGGACACGGGTGAGATGAGCTGGGCTGGGGAGGCCGCTCCCAGCAGGGTTTCCCTGGGATTAATCCCAATTAAGAGCCAGGACGAGCCTCTCCAGCCCCTCAGAGGAGGGGTCCCACGGGCAGCAGCAGCTCCAGACCTGCTGGGGATTTGTGTCTCTTTGGGGTGCAGCTGAAGCCAGGAATGGCTCTTTTTGATAACGCTGCTGGAAGCTGCGCGAGGAAATGAGCCACAGAACAAAAGCTCGGCGCTTATCGAGCCCACAGCCATCACATTTCCGCTGGTTTCACATCAAAAACTCCATTTGCATTTGTAATTGCACTTGAGGAAAACTGATCAAAATTGCCATTAAATGGTTTTTAGTTAAAAGGCGTCGTTCTGGCAGGTTTTGAGCCAGGCTGGGGGCAGTGGCTCCAGCCCAGGGTTCCTCTGATGCCACATGAGTTGTGCCATCCCCAGGAGCAGCAGCAGCTCCGAGGGCTCCATCACCTGCAATGGACCAAAGCTGGGAGTGAGACAGCTCCGAGCCACTGCTCTGCCAGCACGGGGCTGAGGCTGGGCTGGGATAAATCCAGCACCACAGCAGCTGGGGCTGCCCCTGCATCCCTGGAAACATCCCAGGCCAGGCTGGACACTGGGGTTTGGGGCAGCCTGGGACAGTGGGAAGTGACCCTGGAGGGGCTCAAAGGTCCCTCCCATCCCAAACCAGGCTGGGATCCTGTGCTGCTCCAAATTCCTGCACTAACTCCCATCCAATCCCAACCCCTGGGTGTCCAAGCCCCACCTGGGTGTGGGAGCACCCCCAGCCCCAAGGGAGCCCCGAGGAGCTGTGCACATGAAATAAATCATCTGTGACACAACAGGAAAGAATCCACACTGGGACCCAGCCCGGAGCTCATCAGGCTCCCAATCCAATTAACTGGCCACTCATCCCCGTGGAGAGAACACCCCCCCACGGTGCCTGTTGCCCATTAGCTGCTGGATCCCTGCTCCAAAGCAGGTAATTTAATTTTTCCATGCTATCTATTCCATTTCTCAGCTGACTGCAAGCCAGAGCCTCACATGAGGGGCTCCAGAAGTCACCATTAAATTAATGTACCGTGCTACACTGAGCACTTAACAGTCTTTAAGGTCCTTTCCAGCCCAAGCCACTCTGTGATTAAATATGATTAAAACACTTTGAGCTGCACGAAGCTCCACCGCCCAGTACAAGAGGGTTTTGTGTTTTATTCCCCCTGGGAGCCCCTGACATGGTGTGCAGTCACTGAGCCTCCATCCCAGAGCTGAGGAGCATCCCCAGCAGCAGCAGCAGCACCCTCAGGGCTCTTGTGCCAAGAAATGATTCTCCCTTCTGCCATACTCGTGTTCTACACCCTGCACACACAAAATGCAGATTTTCCCCGTGTGCTCTGCATCACCTGGTGGATAAATGTATTCCAAATAAAGCTCAGCCCAAGCTGTGTTCTCCCAGCTTGGCTGTGCTTGTTGAATAGTAGATTTTAGGCAATTATGAGCATTGCCGTGTTATCCACACGCGTCAAATCTCACCCGAGCATTACTTGTAACAGCTTAGAGCTCTAAATTAACTTGTGTGGAGGAACTCTGCTGAGGTGCTGGGGCAGGATGTGGGCAGCAAACTCACAGCTCCGAGCTGCCCTGCTCTGGGACACGCTGGAGCAGACAGGGAGCAGCGACAGAGCAGCAACTTCTCATTCTTTGAGATTAACTGGCAGAGGCTCACACGAGCTCCAGCAGACTGTGCTGGTTGGGAAGCTCTTTCCCAGTGAAAACCCCTTCAGAAAGCTTCCCCCTCTCCTGGGAAGCCTCAGTTGTCACCTCCTACAGCTGATGGAGGGACTTGGCCCCTCTGTGAGCAGCTCAGCGAAAGCCAAGTGTCTCCAGCAGTCATTACCTTATATAAGTCACCACTGCATAATAAGCACTATTAAAAATATCACCTTCCCAAATAGCATTTTTCAAAGAAGAATTGTAAGTCTCCTCCTGAGAGTCTCTCTTTCAGCTGCAGCAGCATTTCTGATTATTAACGTGAGTGACACAGGGTACAAATCCATCAGCTGCACCCAGCAGAGCTGGCACAGACCCTGCTCCCGAGGGAAACCCTTCACCCTGACCAGCAGCCCAAAAGAATGAAGCACCTGCTGGAACTAATCACAGAGGAGAATCAGCACATCACCCAGGACAATGGGGCTTGCTGGGATCCAGCAGATTACCAGGGAACCATCCTCAGCCCCACTCATTTTCATGGATCCTTTTCCCACTGCCAGGCTCCTCTCCGGGGGAGGGATCTGCAAAACCCGCTGTGTCAGCACCTCCTCTGCCTCTCACTTACCAGCCCACTCTGCTGGTGAAAAATCAGCATTTTGGGACCTCTGGAATCTGCTTTTCACCTGAGCAGGTGCAGGCACAGCGCTCTGCTGCCCGGCAGGAGCAGCTCTGCCGTCACTCTTTAGCTCCCCAATTTTCCTCCGCTCTTTTCACTTCCACAATTCTCTGCAAAGGCTTTTAACAACTTTTTTTTTTTTGGCCCACGAGGCAAGAACACTGTGTCATGGAATGGTTTGGGCTGGAAGGGACCTTAAAGCCCCTGCAGTGTCCCCCTGCCATGGCAGGGACATCTCCCACTGTCCCAGGGGCTCCCAGCCCTGTCCAGCCTGGCCTGGGACACTGCCAGGGATCCAGGGACAATGGCATTTTAGAAAATCAAGTGCAAGGCAGTGTCAAGTCTTCAGGTGACCTCCAGCCACTGCCAAGCACTTCCAAGCCAAGGATTTCTGCATTTCCCAGGCCAGTGCTGGCCGGGCAAGCAGTCCCTGATCTCTGGGCACATCCCAAACATTGAACAACCACTTTTGCACTGGAAAGGCGCCCATTTAATTAACAAAAAGATTTGCAAGAGGATCATTACTTACTGCCAAATGCATAACCGCTCATTAGGCCCTCGGGGGAAATGAATAATTACTCCTGCAATCTACAGATTGTGTCTTTTTCTGCAGTGAGGATTCATCTCCCCAGCTGGGGTGGGCTGGAGAACCCTCAGCCCAGCAGCAGCTGGACCATGGGGAGCAGCTCCCCCAACAGCCTCAGTCCCCCTGGGCTCTCCAGGGATCCCTGAGCTCTCCACAAAGACCTCTGGAAAAAGCAGCCACCGTGCCCTTGGAATGATGGAAACACCGTGCTGGCTTCTGGAGCTCTTCTGGCACAGGGGTGAAGCCAGCAACTGTGGGAATGCACTGAAAACAAGGAAGGAAAGGCTTATCAGGCAGTCACAGGGCTGCACAGGGGGTTTATCCATGGCACAGCTGCCTTTCATCCAGCCTCCCCCTCCCCAGCTGCCCACAGCCCCTGCACACCACGGGAGAGGCAGGAACAGAGAGGTGCTCAGCACAGAGCCCTACAAACATCTCAGCTGAGTGTTTTCACTGGCCTGGGCTGTAAAAAACCAAGTTGTGGTTCCCAGATGTGTCAGAGGGCAGCCCCACCGAGCTGTACCTGGGTAAACCCTTGAAATAAACCTGCAAGCCACGGGAGGAGGTTGTGCTCCCAAATTCACTCCCTGCTCAGCATCTTGTGTCGGTGCAGCATCCGGCAGCATCCCTTTCTCAGCAGATCCCAAAGTCAGCCCAAAGACTCCGGATAAAACCTCTTTTAACCGGGAGCACGTGGGCTGAGTTTCATCCCAGACTGCAGCCTCCAAACCTGTCTATAAATACAGCCAGGAATATCCCAGACTCTGCCACAGGAGCAGCAGCTGTGGGGGAAAAGCAGCAAAAGTGTAAATTCCTGCTGGGCAGGGGCCGGAGCAGCCGGGGGTGGGCTGGCATTTACCGATGGGGAAGGGAAAATCTGCTTTGTTTTCCCCACAAAACTGAGCACCCACAGCATGGGAACTTCCCACAGAAAGGTGGGAATTACCCTGGGAGCAGCAGCACACCGAGCCTGGCTGTGCTCTGTGAGGACTTCAGGGAATCACCATGGAATGGTTTGGCTTGGGAGGGACCTTAAAACTCATCCATGGGCAGGGAGAGGATCCTGCAGAAATCACACAAACCCCAGGGAACTGAAATCATCGGGAAGAAGGCCAGACATGGGGAAGTGTCCTGGCACCACTGTACCAGGGAGCTGCTGTGGAGTTTGAACAGACTAAAAAAGACTAAAAAACCACTTAGGACGCCTGACACTGAGTATTAACAAAAGGACACAGCTCTATGGATCAATCTGCACAGGAAATAGGGAAAACATTAAGGCTGTAAGATATATCCCAATAAATATAATGCAGCAGCACTCAGGACAGAGCAGATGAGGACAGGATTACAGAGCAGGATTACAGGACCCCATCAAGAGCCTTCCTATATTTTGCCATTTAAAGATTAGGTATTTTAAAGCTTCAGTGCACAAAATGGGCCTCACTAAGGAAGCCTGGAAGAGCAGCCATGGCAAAGGGATCATTCCCAAATTCCCTTTTCCTGGGGTGGCTCTGCAGGGGTGTAAGGGGGGCTCTGCTTGCTTGGGGTGAAATCCCCCCTTGGTGTTCAACACCTTGGATGGGCCTGGCTGATCCCTGATAACATCTTCAAGCTGCTGGAGCTTCCAGCACCCACACACCCTCCCGTGCCAGGCAGCTCCCCAGTTCCACCACAAGAGCCTGAGAAAGGGGTTCCTGTGCTCAAACCCACTGTACAAAACGTCCTTTGCTCCCCCCTGCCCCAGTTCCTGCCATGTGGGAGACGGTGAGTGACTGGCTACAGGCTGCTCCTGGTTTAAACACATCTGTAATCCCTGTCCATCATCTTTTCCCTAAGCCAAAAGCCTGTTTAATCGCCTGCTGCAGGGACAATCCCATCCCTCGGACCCCTCTGCTTGCCCAGGTTGCTGAATCCACTGGAAATGGCCAAAGGTTTGGGTGTCAGCTCCTCACAGATCCCATCTCAACCAGGAAAGGGAGAAGGGAAAAGAGGGAAAATGGGGAAGGAGAAAGGGAAAAGAAGTAAGGAAAATGAGCATCCTACAAAGGGCTGCCTGCTGGCCAATCTCTGCATGGAAGTTTCACAATTCCCAGGTTTTAGTTTGTTGCTCACCCAAGAGAAGCAGCAGGAAGAGGACAGGGCTCTCTGTGTGGGATGCAGGAGCTCAGGGGGTTCTGCAGGACACCCCAAGCCGAGTGAGATGGGTTTGCCAGGGAGTTCTGTGCTCTGGGAAGAATTCTCCCTCCTGGAACAGAACCTCAGCTAACATAAAATAGATAAAAGAGGAATGCAGAGCCCAGCCCAGCTGCAGCGTGGGTTAATCCAGCAGCGCCTCGGGACTCCGTGACCTCCATAAATACTTTCCACCCCAACATTTGCCAGCAGCATGTTTTGCAAGAGCTGCCTGGGTGCTCTTGCAGACACATCTACTCCTATAAGATTTCCCCCCCAGGCCCTCGGAGCGCAGCTGCCCGAGCTCCCAGACCCTGCTGGAATCAGGATGGAGCAGAACTCTGGGAGCTTTCACAGCCAGAGCCCAGCAAAGTGTGCAGGAATGGAGCTGTGCCATGAACACCTCCTTGGAGAACACCAAATTTGCTTTGTAAAGGGTGTTTCATCTGAGAGAAACTCTGCTGTCATCAGAAACGAGCCAGACTCACGCTCTGCTGCTCTTTGGGGTGTTCTGCAGCAGCTGAACTGTGCTGCACTGGCTGAAGCAATGAAAGGGAAAAGAACTGATCAGCCTGTAAATGAACCAGCTTACAAGTGTTTAGTAAGTGTTTCTTTTCACAATTCATTACTTCTCACGAGTAATTGAATAAATCTTAATAAAAAAGGAGGTTCTGCTGTGCTGGCTGCTCTGGACCCACGGAGAGCTGAAGAAACATCCTGGAGGCAGAGGAAGAAAGAGAAAATGTCCAAGCCCAAAGTCAGATAGAAGAGTCCCTGTACCTCTGGAAGAGAAAATCCCCTTTGGAAGCAGCAGGTGGGGAGTGCAGGAGCATCCCTGCCCTCAGCAGAGCCCTCTGCCCAGCCCCTCTCCCACAGATAAATCTCTGGAAATGTGGGAAGCGCAGTAAGTTACAGCTGCTTCTGTCAGCTGTGAAAAATGTACACACTTAAAATGGAGCAGAGGCTCGAATCCATCAGCTTCAGCAGAAATTAAGCACATGCTTTATTTCCCCATGAGTGATGGCTCTGCTGAACGAGGGATGCTCCACTCACCAAGCCAAGGAACAGAGGTGGCTGGAGGTGTGTGCAGGGGGCTCCTGCAGCCACAGCCCAGTCCCACAGCCTCTCATTAATTACATTTTTCTATGGCTTTGAAACTCCTTCTCTATTCATATCCTACAGAAATTTTCTCCCCAAGCTCTTGGCAGGTTTCTCCCCCGGGCTGGGCACGTTCTGGTGCAGCAGAACACGGAGATGAACATTGCTGTCAGCTTTTGGGCTCATCAGGGCCAGGATATGTCCACGGACCAGGGCTTGTGCAGGACAATCTGTGGAGGACACTTCAAACAGGGCTCAGCCCTTCCTGGGAGCACTGTGAGCCCCCCCTGTGCTCCTCAGTGAGGACACGAGCTCTAAATCGTGTCTGCGTGGACCAACAGCATGGGAAGTGCAGAATTAGAGAGAAACAAGATAAATGGGGATTTTCCTGTCCTGAAAAGGACACCAGCCTTTTCCAACATAGCTGCAATGTGGATTAGGACCTTCAGAAGGAGCAGAGGGATTTCTCATCAAAGGGTGGCGAGTTTCCAGCCCCAGTGAGTGAGAGGATCTCTCTCAGGGACAGCAGTGCTCCTGCCAGCCCAGGGATCACTCCTGCCACAGCTCCACTCCTGGGATGCCTTGGGACACTCTCCCATTTCATCCCCCCAGCACTGGGGGCTCAGTTCCCCTTCTCTAACCCCAGCTTGCTCCGAGGGTGCCCAGCTGGCCCAGCAGCACCATGGCACAAAGCCCTTTGCCATTTCTCCTGGTCCCTGGACATTGTCCCCAAATTTCCCCACCCAGCTGGGACACAAGGTGCTGGAGCCAGAAAAATACCAGTCATGGGGCCTTATTTCAATTTTAAGCTCAGACCAGCCATGGGCAAAGATCAACCTCTTGGGAAAGCAAAATGTTTCAAAGAAAATTTGCTTTTCTTAGAAGCAGAGAGAACTTGTAGGCTTTCCATACAGGATGTCATCCTTTTAAAGGGAACCTCTCAAAGCACAATCGCTGGACTAAGCCCACCAATGTCTCTCCACCCACCATCCCAGTCCCAGGCTGTCCCAGCTCCCCTTCCCCTGGACACCCTTTCAAACCCAAAATTCACATATTTCCCATCCTGAACCCATCCAGGTTTCTGGGCTCTCAGTCCATGTGCTCCACGAGGAGGGTGAGGGTCTCAGGGTTCGGGACCTGAGCTGGAAAATTCAGTGTGATTTTCCCTGTCCTGGAAGCGCTCCAGGCCAGGCTGGATGGGGCTTGGAGCACTGTTCCAGTGGAAGGTGTCCCTGCCATGGGATGGGATGGACTTTCACCCTTCCAACCCAAACCATCCCACGATTCTGTGACTGGAAGAGAAAGACCCAGCTGAGAGTTTCAAGAGAACAGGTCACACACATCCAGCTTCGCTCCAAGGGGCTGGGGCTCCTCTCCCAGACATTCTCTGTGTCCCTACAACCTGTCCCTTTTGCTCCATGCCCAGGATGGATTTGGGCTGAGATCAGTGATCTGGTTTTGCCCCTGGCCCAGCACTCTGGGGGATGAGGGCTGCCGGTGGGAATAGAGAGCTGACCCCATTTCCCAGGCCTTATATTTAGATAATGAGAAATATTTGCTTGGGACTCAATCCAAGGCCAATAAACACAAACCAAATACTCTCACAGGGTCTATTTCAGGCCCTGGGCTGGCTGGATGAACTCTGCAGGCGTCTCTTGTTTTGTCACAGCTCTCAAGGCTGGGGTTACCTGCTCTGGGAACTCCCCTGGCATCTGCAGCCTCCTGGGCTGTGACAATCCACATGAGTTAAATGATGATGTTAACACTGATTTCACACTGCTGAACAGCAAACAGAGAGAGGTTCTGGTTCACAGACTCACAGAATGGTTTGGGTTGGAAAGGACATCAAAGACCATCTTATTCCAAAGTCCCCTGCCATGGGAAGGGACACCTTCCACTACCCCAGGTTGCCCAAGCCTGTCCAACCTGGCCTTGAATGGTGCAGGGATGGATTTTATGGTCTTGATCCCTGCAGCACCCAGAAGGGCCACAGTGACCTTTCCTGGCCACAGTAAACAATCCTGCCAAGGTCTGGTTCATGACACTGAGGCAGATGTCTGAGACTCTATTTTAAAAACTCACCCCATTTCAGCCCCAAATACATTAGAAAAATAAGTTAAATAATCAAGTGATGGATGTATCATGAACTCAACTAATCCTTAAATCTTTCAAAGCAGATAAAGAAAGACTGATCCCAACCCCAGAATATATTTGAAAAGCTCATAATTCAATGTCACAGAGGGGAGTTTGGCAGGAGCAGTGGGATTACCCCGTTATTCCTCTTGTGTGACTGTCACATCAGGGCGTGGGTGGCCC